GCGCACACTTCTCAGGGTCGCGCTGTCTCCTGGCACGGCCGCTCCAGACCCGTCGCCATCAGCCGCAGAGTCTCTCTTGATGCCGGGCAGCGCAAGCACCAGCAGCACGAGCAGCACGGCCGTCAAGTCGCCGACCAAGCGCCACCGCCAACGGCCACCGCCGCAGCGGATATGAGAACCGGTGGGAAGATTTTTCACTTTTTATTGTACCTTTCAGCACCAGAGGTTCTGTTTGGTTACTTTGTATAATTTCTCTTTCTTGACATTCTTAGAGATGTGTGGGTACCCTATATGAGTCCTTCAGGTAGAACTTTAATAGGTTAGAATAGAAATATACAACAATTTGTATATAAGGTCTGTTCTGCTCCTTCCAGAACCAGGGATTCACGATGGGAATGTGGAGACCCTTCATGATTGGCACTGCACTGGGCAGGGGGTGGGGCAAGGGCAAGTAAAATGCCACGGAGCTTTCCTACTGCTTTGAAGTCACTCCTTTCTTGATCCAGTGTTCTCCTGGCTGCTGAAACCTCTGACTGTTTAAGAGAGTTCTGGTAAATTTGGTTCTGACAGTTTTTGGTTTTTTGATGTTTCTTTGGGGTGACTAGAGCTTGGAGCTGCCTACTCTGCCATATTGCTCACCCAAAATTTCAAATTTTGAAACCAAATTTTAAATGTTGGTTACCATAGATACTAAATATTTAACAAATTTATATACTTGTGGAACTAGTTACTTTTTTATTACATACCATTGGAGTGCGATGTTTCACTTTGGTCTGGATAACACCATCTTTTTCAAACTGTATCATATCATTAAGTGGGTCCCATGGTCGGGTACTACATAAATTAAAAAAAAAAAAAAAACATTTGTTTAATGACTAAACAAAGAACTTCAGGATTTTCTATTCTTTGATTAGATTTTCATTAATAATTATAAACTTAGTTCTAATACTAAGATTTGCCTGTACCTCATCTTCTGATCCTCAGCTTATTTTATAGGCTAACTACTATCATAGAGTCAAGTTTATAATGGATGTAACAAATTTAAAATCTCACATTAATATACATAGATTAATAAAAAAAAATTACTCCAACTAACAATAACTATTCTAAAAAGGAAGGCAACAAACTATGTTAATATATTATTTGAAATAAGCTCTTTGAAATTACTTACTCTGCAAACTTATAATGCCATTCTCCTGTGAGTAGATCAAGCTCAAATAACTTGCAAGTCCACTCTTCATTTTTTGTTTTCCGATCTCTGGCAGCTTGTCTTTGAGCTTCTTCCAAAACATACTTCTCTTGAGTAGCTTCTGTTTGGTCTTTGGCATTTATGGCTCGAGTTACCCGCTGCCAGAGTCTAATACATGTGCAAAAATAGTATTAAAAAAGCAACAGAAAATCAAATTTATATAGAAGAAGCTTCAATCCCCTTGAGAAAAAAATAATGCTTACATGGATTTCTGGCTTTGACAAAGCTTATGCTCATATGCTTAGGAATGAGTCAAGATATAAAAATCCAGTCCCTTGAATAGAGAAAAACCTGTTCATAAGTGGAGATTAATTTTTTTTCTTGGCAAGAGAAGCTTACTATGTGGGCTCTTAAACATACCTGTAATACCGAATGTTGCTGACTCAAAATGATAGGAAGGTAATGAAGGTAGGGCTGAAGAATCTACATTTTAAACAAGCTCCCCAGATGATTCTTACACATACTGTTTAAGAGTCTCTGGCCTCATAAACATCTATTAGCATAATGCAGTGCTTCACAACCTTGGATGCATGAATTATCAGGGAACTTTTAAAATCAGAATACCTGGGGATGGGCCCAAGTATTGATATTTTTTAAATGCTTCCAGATGATTTTAATGTGCAGCCAGTATTGAAAACCACTGACTTGAGAAAAGACTACTGAGGTAAAATGACTTTCCCTACTAAATCTTAGTTTATCAGTTGAATAAAAGTGGAAGATCTATATCCCACCCATCTGGGGAGGCAACATGTTGAAACTGAAAGAACAAAGACTTTGAAATCAGACAGACTTGGGTTGAATTTTGTATTTCCAAATTCTCAGCTGGTGAACTTAAAGTTACTTATCCTGTCTAAATCATGTTTCCTCATCTATAAATATGGTGAATTATATCCACACCTCAAAAATTGTTGTATGCTTTGGCAAAGGTTAGATCTAGATGGAGAGCATGTAGTTATGGCTGAAACAGAATTTTTAGAACTGGTGCATCTATTTTCTTCTATCTTTGACAACCTCAATTTTGAGTACAGAAAAAAAAATACATATAGACTTGAATCCCATGAGAAAGAATGATATGCATGTGGGAACATATAGTGAGGACCATGTTGCAATATGTGTATAAAGTGCCTAGCAAAGTATGTTTTACACAGAAGCCCCCTTCTCTTAACACAAAGAGGTATAATAAGAATAAAATTGGGCAATGTGTATACAATATTTTTGATTCAAAAGTATAAGTAATCTAACAAGAATTTCAAGACTTAAGGACAGAAACTACCTTTTTACCCAACCAATGTAAGTCCTTTGGAAGCCAGCACATTCAGTGGCACCATTCATGTGTTTCAGAGAATTTGAAACAAAAGCAGATTCTGCATCATTCCCTTCACCTAGAGCTCTACATGCCTAACCCAGGTTAAGAGAACAGTTTCCAGTTAGAAACTAAGAATCACTAATTAGTCCTATAATTTTACACAAACAAAAAAGTTATTTTTTTTAAGGTACTAGAGCAGATAAGAAGAGAAAGAAAAAATGGGAAGTTTAGTTTTGAGCTGCAGAAAAATAAGATTATTTGTATTATATTTATTTGACATTCACATACACCAAAATAGAATACTGTCACATCACACAAATGATAAACTATTTTACTAAATTAAAATATGACAGAAGACAGAGAAAAGTGACCACACTATTAAGGGATTAAAAATATTCTTTTATCTTCATGAACTTAGCTGAAGAATGGTATACTTACTTCTCTGATTCAAAATCTTCCTGCTCTTCAAATTTTACAGTGTGTCTTATTAGTCTCCATTGCTTAATGTCAGGTGTTGGATTCCAGAAAACCTCTGAATTGTCAGTCTTTTTGTCATTAATAAAAACTTCACTATCCTATATTTAAACAAATTAAAAATTAATGTACAGAATTATCTTTATTTAGAAGGGGATTACTTAGTAAGGCAACATAATAATCTTTCTTCTGTTACTTAATCCTCCAGTTAAACACATTTTAAAAACAATATAACTAGCACTTTTCCAAAAGCCCCACATTTCTTGTCCTTTTTTACAAAACATTAAGAACATATAATACTAGTCAATTTTTTAAAAATTGGTTGCATACACAGAAAATTTGTGAGATTTCACAAGTTTTTACTTAATAAACAAATTTCAAACATTACATGCAAAGCCTCAACAACCATCTCCAAACAGTCAAAGTAGAGCATAGCATTTGCTGCAGCCACAATGAGATGCTGTTGACTCTCCATTAACACAATATATATATAGAAAAACCTGAAAGAGCCTTTCTTAGCCTTAAAAATTTGAGCATAATCTTAGATATTTCATTTTTTAAAAAACACTGCTTTATCTTTTTTCCAAATGACATTCATGTAGAAATCAATCAAAAATTTTTGCCAAGCATATGTGGCCACCTAGCTGAGTCCTTAAATCCAGTTTCATTTTCTCATCATATTTCTCATCACTTTCTGATTATAATGCAGAAAATAGCACAGACTCAATGATTACAATAAGAGTGCAACTAGGTAATACCATAATCCTTTTTCTTCACTTAAGCGCCTCTTAACAAAATTACAAAAATATGAATTTAGGTCAGCAGAGAAGTAAATATAAGCTATTACTCTCATATACCACTAAATCTTTTTCCATGTTCCTCTAAAAGAACTATAACACTAATTGGAACTATGACTCTTTCTTCCAGATGAGAGGCAGCATAGTGCTATGCACAAAAGCACATCTCTGGAACCAGAGTTCCTGGGCTTAAATTCTATTTTTTTTTTTTTTTTAAAGATAGTCCAGTGAATCAGCTGCACTGGAATTCTTGCTCCACCACTTTGAGCAAATTATTCAAACTCTCTGTGCCTCAGTTTCCTCCTCTATAAAATGTGAACAATAACAAACACTAATAAAATGGGTACCTATGTATCTACCTCATAGGGTTATATTAAATATTAAATGAGTTAATATGAGTAATAACCACACAATGAAGTTCATAGTAAGTGATATATAAGTGTTGATTATTTCTACTGATTTAAAAATTTTGGAAAGATAAAATATTACATAAAACTAAATATGGCTGATAATAGATCAACACCAAAATATCTATTAGTGATGCTTTTAGCAAAGAAACAAGTAAACTTTTAATTTTAAAATGTGATTTTTTTCCACAGAATAAAATTCTTTTTGTAAAGCTAATATATAAAAATACTTACCCAATGGCCTTCCAAAGTAGCTAGGACTTCTTTTCCCAATTTAAGTTTCCCTGATATTTGATTAACACAATCACTACTCCCTAGAAATGGCTTTTAAAAGACAAAATGTTAAACATTTTTAAACATTTCACTTTTAACATATTTAAGTATAGACAAAAAACAAAAAAAGTAATTGTATAGTTACAGTGCTCTTGAAGGTACAAATGGTGAAATACTGACTCAAATTTTAGGAGAAGTGAATAATAAAAAGAAATTTGAGGGCTGGCTAGTTAGCTCAGTTGGTTAGAGTGTGGTGCTGATAACACCAAGGTCCAGGCTTCAATCACTGTGTCAGCCAGCCGCCAAAAAAAGAAAAAAATTTGAATCGTTGCTGTGGAAAAAATAGGTAAAAGCAGACATACTATGTGAAATTTAAATAAACACAGTAAGAAACATCACATGATATTAACTTGCTCCTGTCCTGTGCTCTCTCAAGTCCTGTGTTCTCTCCTAACTCTCAAGATTGAGGCCCATCAATATAGTAATACACATAGCAATAACAACTTAGTAAAACTAAGGGATTTAACAATCTATTGACAGAAATGACACCTCCTCCTTCAAAACAAAATAAAATAAAATAAATTGCCTCACTGATGTCTCTCTTCGGAGACAAAATTTTGATGCTCCAATATAATACTTAAAGATGCTATAAATTACTTAAGATCTCTTTTGTCATGATTTTCAAACATTATCATCCTACAAACAAAACTAAAGTGAAAAAAATCAAAGAGCATTGCATTAATAATATTTAAGAGACTGTTTTTATCACAGCAAAGTTGCTGATCAGCCAGATATCAGCATAGGAGCAATTTCGTAAAAAATATTACATAGTTCACAGAAATATTTTTATCTGAACATAATGTACTGTCCTACTACAACAACTGACACTGTGAAAAGGTCTCAAATTTCCCTTTACTCTAAGGCAGATGGAATTTTCTGAAGATGGCCTCAACATTATCTACTCTTCTCCCTTCCAGCCCACACGGTCTTCTTCAGTGAGACCTTGCCACCTTCCCATTGAGAATTGGAGTCTATATCCCTTCCCCGTGAATTGGGTGGGCTTATAAATCTTCAACTAATAGAAGATGGCGGAAGAGATGTAATTTGGCTTGTGAGGCTACGTCATGGAAGGCAAAAGCAGCTTCCCCCTTGCTCACAGGGACACTTGCACTTGGAAACCCTAAGCTGCCAATTAAGAAGTCTGACTACCTTGAAGTTGCCAGGCTGTGAGGAAGCCAAGTCACATGGAAAGGCCATATATACAGATGCTGGGATTACCAGTCCTAGTCTTTCCGTCATCCCAGCCCAGGCATTGGATACGTAAATAATAAACTGTCAGAATACTTCACCCCCCAACTGTCGAGTCACCCATAGTCTGCAAGTCTTCCTGAGGCCCTAGATACTATGTAGCAGACTCAAGCCATCCTCAATCTGCCCTGACCAAATTCCTGACCCACAGAATCCATGAGGATTTTTAAAAAATCTATTTTTAAGCTTGTGAGTTTTAGAGTAATTTGTTACGCAGAAATAGTAACTAAAACAACTCTGTCTTAACTATACACAGCTAGAGTGCAAGTTGATACGTACCTTTTTGTATTTTCATAAAGCAATGCTTTAATTTACTGAGAAAGTTTTAACCACTTCCTAAATCTCATCTCCTACATAATACCAACAGTTTTATTAAAATGAAAAAATGATGGCTTTGTGTTAATTTGGATCTTCCAAGGCTGCTGTCTTAGGCTATTCCAAGATATGTACCTAGCTTTGCCCTCATCCCTCAGATGCACTTATCCTTGACCTGACACAAATTGTGTTTTTATATTTAGGCTTAATTAGAAACTGAACTGTGCTCATTGTTCAATCATTATGGCACAGCTCCCCTTTAATCAGGTGATACCTCTTGTCATTCTCTACTAACCTTTAGTTTAAATTCAAGTATTGCACTGTATCCAGTTTTTTGACATGTTATATTGACTGTTCCACCAAGCTCCAGAGTCATTGTGCCATAAAGAATTCCTAAAGAAAAAAATAATTAAAAAGGTTGAAGACAGAGAGACACTAGTTAAAAATAAGCAGTTTTGCAAACTAATTTCCTTCTCAGAGAAACTTATAATTCAAGGGCATTCTATCTCATCCAATAAAAATCTATACTATAGTCACAAAGTTGGTTTTGTAGGATATAAAGAGGTAACAGCTGACCCACATTAGGTGCAGATTCTATATTTATAAATTTGCTACTAAGATATATTGGTAATTCTCCAATTAATACCCACAGAGCTTTTGCGGTCATTCACCGACAGGCGCAGCGTGGCAAAAAATTTGAGTCACCCAAAGCGCACAGCTGAAGTTGAAAGAGGCAACATTCTGCCTTCTTGTTTCAGCTCCCGTACTGTAAAAAAGTGCCCTTTTTGTACTATATTTATTGCCATGTTTTTCATATTTTTGTGCTTTTTGTTGGTGATGTTTTCAGACTAATGTATATACAGATATCACAAAAAGTCCATTATTGGTGAGTTAATACAGCACAGAAATATTCAGAGATCATAGCAATAATTTTAGGTATCTATAAACCAAGGATGCTTTCAAACAAAATACAGACTCTATCAATCTCAAAACAGCAAATTACAGCCATATACATTTACTTAAAAAGAAGGTTTAAGGAACATTTAACTCAAGTATGTAAAATGTTTACCTTTACAATGAGCATATGGCATTGTCATTACATAATCTTCGCCTCTATTCAAGAAAGTTAACCGGGCTTCTCCCTCTAATATTGCAGACAGTGAGTTTCCTGAAATAGGTATTGTTTATTAAATTTCACAAAACGAATTCAACTAATTCAAAACAAATAAAATACATATAGAGCACCTACCAGACATCTACAGTGGAAAGCCTTAAAAACATCTCAATCTCAATGTACCCAAACATGTATTCATTATCTTACCTGATCCATATTCCCATTATGACAAAAGGAGCACTTTTAAAAGTACAGTTATGATGTGCCTGTTATGTTATTTTATAAGGGTCATAAGAAAAACCTTAAATGTGTAAAATGTCCAACAAACTCTGTTTCACTGTATAGCTTAATTTGTCTTTTTAGACTAAAAAACATTATTTCTTGGGCTGGCCAGTTAGCTCAGCTGGTTAGAGCATGGTGTTATAACACCAAGGTCAAGGGCTTGGATTGCCGTACCAGCAAGCCACCAAGACAAAATAAAACAAAAAACAAACGTTATTTCTTACACATAAGTCATGTTACTTGGTTAAGTCCCATATTTTAAATACTTATAATTGGGCCGGCCCGGTGGCGCACTCAGTAGAGTGCGGCGCTTGGGAGTGCGGCGGCGCTCCCGCCAAGGGTTCAGATCCCATATAGAGACCGGTCCGCTCACTGGTTGAGTGCGGTGCGGGCACAACACCGAGGGTTGCGATCCTGTTGCTGGTCGCGGTACGGGCGCGACACCGAGGGTTGCGATCCCGTTACCGGTCACAAAAAAAAAAAAGACAAAAAGGAAAAAAAAAATACTTATAATTGATATAATAATCCTGTGGACGATTTAGAAAAATAAAAAATACATACGCATAAACCACCACATTGCAATCAATGATAAAATTTCATGATAATTTCTTCTAGCTTTTCTCCCATTCACATTTTTCTCTCCTCACATCCTCAGCTTTATTGGAGTATAATTTACATACAGTCATATAACCACCACCAGAATCAAGATATAGAATTTTCCCATTACCCCCAGAAGTACCCCCTTGCTCCTCTTCAGTCAATCCTTTCCCCCAGCCCCAGGAAAACACTGGTCTGTTTTCTATCACTATAGTTTTACCCATTCTAGAATTTTGTACAGATGGCATTACAGAATATGTAGTTTATTATGTTTGACTTTTTTCACTTAGAACAACTGTATTTTCAGATTCATACACACTGTTGTATCAGTATTTCATTCCTTTCTATTTCTGGTTAGGATTCTGTAGCTGTGGTATTTCCATACTAGTACATGGTCATTTAAGTTGTGTTCAGTCCTGGACTATTATGGAAAATGCTGTGAGCATAGGAGTGGAATTTCTGAGTTTACTATATGTCTGTGTTTAACTCTGGACCATTATTACCCCATGTCAAAACCCATTTGACCATATGTGTACAGGTCTATATCTGAACTCTATTCTATTCCATTAATTTATATTTCTTTATGTCAATACCACATTGTGTGGATTTCTGTAGCTTTATACTGAAATCAGTCAGTGAAAGACCTATCTTGTTCTTTTTCAAAATTGTGTTGGCTGTTCTGGGTCCTTGGCTTTTCCATGTAATTTTAGAACCAGCTTGTCAATTTCTTCAAAAATGCTTGCTAGGAATTTAATTCGGACAGACTGAATGTATGGCTTTATTTGGGGAGATGTGTCATCTTAACATTAAATATTTCCATATATGAACATAGTATATCTTTCCATTTATTTAGGTCTTCTTTAATTTGCCTCAGCAATGTCTTGTAGTCTTTGGTGTACAGATTTTATACATCTTTCACTAAATTTATTCCTAAGTATTTTATTTTTTGAATACTATTGTAATTAAAGTTCTTTTTGAAATTTCATTTGTGTTCATTTCTGGTATATAGAAATACAATGATTTTTATATTTTGACCTTGTATCTGAGACCTTACTAAATTCATTTATTAGTTCTATTCACTTTTTTGTATTTTGTTGAAGGTTTTCTATGTAGATCAGGAATGTAAATGGTTTAACTTCTTTCTTTCCAATCTGTACGCCTTTTCTTTCTTTAACTTGCCTACTGCATTGGCGTGGATCTCTAATACAATTTCTGTACAGAAATAGTGCCTCACTTTGTTCCTGATGTTAGGTAGAAATTATTCAATTTTCACCTTAAGAGTATAAAGTTGGCTATATATTTTTCATAGATGCCTTTAATATAGTCCTAGTTTGTTGAGAGCTTTTATCGTGAATACATGTTGAATTCTGTCAAATGCTTTCTCTACGTCTATTGAAATCATGTTTTCTTCTCCTTTATTCTATTAATATGGTGAACTATATTGGTTGATTTTTCAGATGATAAACCAAACTTGTATTCCTGAGATAAACCCCATTTCATCATGACATATTATTTTATTATACTGATTATGAAATATATTTTTATACAAGCATACCTCATAAAGTCTGAAAAATAGAATTAAACGATAGTACAAAATACTGAAAACAGTCAGTGAAAGACCTATCTTGTTCTTTTTCAAAATTGTGTTGGCTGTTCTGGGTCCTTGGCTTTTCCATGTAATTTTAGAACCAGCTTGTCAATTTCTTCAAAAATGCTTGCTAGGAATTTAATTCGGACAGACTGAATGTATGGCTTTATTTGGGGAGATGTGTCATCTTAACATTAAATATTTCCATATATGAACATAGTATATCTTTCCATTTATTTAGGTCTTCTTTAATTTGCCTCAGCAATGTCTTGTAGTCTTTAGATTTTATACATCTTTCACTAAATTTATTCCTAAGTATTTTATTTTTTGAATACTATTGTAATTAAAGTTCTTTTTGAAATTTCATTTGTGTTCATTTCTGGTATATAGAAATACAATGATTTTTATATTTTGACCTTGTATCTGAGACCTTACTAAATTCATTTATTAGTTCTATTCACTTTTTTGTATTTTGTTGAAGGTTTTCTATGTAGATCAGGAATGTAAATGGTTTAACTTCTTTCTTTCCAATCTGTACGCCTTTTCTTTCTTTAACTTGCCTACTGCATTGGCGTGGATCTCTAATACAATTTCTGTACAGAAATAGTGCCTCACTTTGTTCCTGATGTTAGGTAGAAATTATTCAATTTTCACCTTAAGAGTATAAAGTTGGCTATATATTTTTCATAGATGCCTTTAATATAGTCCTAGTTTGTTGAGAGCTTTTATCGTGAATACATGTTGAATTCTGTCAAATGCTTTCTCTACGTCTATTGAAATCATGTTTTCTTCTCCTTTATTCTATTAATATGGTGAACTATATTGGTTGATTTTTCAGATGATAAACCAAACTTGTATTCCTGAGATAAACCCCATTTCATCATGACATATTATTTTATTATACTGATTATGAAATATATTTTTATACAAGCATACCTCATAAAGTCTGAAAAATAGAATTAAACGATAGTACAAATCTTTCCACAAACTTTTTGAAGTACCCTCATATATTCTTTTATATATGTGTGTATGTACGTGTACATATTATCCTTCACATATATTGTTTCTAATTTATTAGGAATTTGTGCATGTATATTCATGAAGGATATTAATCTGTAGTTTTCTATTCTTGTAATGTCTGGTTGGGAATCAGGTTAATGCTGGCCTCATAAAATGAGTTAAGAAGTGTTTCCTCTTCTATTTTTCTGTAAGAAGTTGTACAGAACCAGTATTATTTATCCCTTAATATAGTCACTCAATTCTACTTGTACTTAATGTTTCCATAGTTTAGCTTTTAACTTTTGTGTTCCATTTACTTTCAATTTTTTGTGTCTTAAAGGTGTTGGTCCTTGCTGTTCTATCCATTATGACAATTTCTATCTTTAAGTTATATTAGTTAGGCCATTAACATTGAAGAGATCATATTATAATTGACTTTTGGTCTAGCATTTTACTGTGTTTTATCTGTCCTCTCTGGTTTTTGTTCCTTGTTCAGGCTTTCCTGTTTCTTTTAAAATTTATTTAAATTTTTTTTTAGAATTTCATTTTAATTTTCTTGTTGGCTTTTTACCTATACTTCTTGGTGTTATTTTGTGTTTGTATGTGTATGTGTGCATGTGTGTGTGTGTATGTTTGCTCTAGGGTAGGGTTTCTCCACGGTGGTGCTACTCACAATTTGGGCTGGATAATTCTTTGTTGTGGAGGCTACCCTATGCATTGTACGATGTTTAGCAGCATCCCTGGCCTCTACCTACTGGATCCCCCAATTATGAAAACCAAAAATGTCTTCAGACATTGCCAAATGCCTCCTGGGGGGTGGAAATTGTTCCCAAGTTGAGGACCACTGCTTTAGAGATTAAAAATATTTATCTTTAAAATTTCACAGTCCACTTACAGTTAGTATTATAGCACTTTTTACAAAATAAAAAACTTTCCAACCTATATGTCCTCTCCTCCAAGGCTTTGTACTGTAGTAATATGTGTTATATCTGCATATGTTAGGAAACTCACAAGACAATGTTAGAATTTTTGTTCTGAACAGTAATATGTATTATAAAGAAATTGAAACAAAAAAATGAAAGTCTTTTGTATTTGCCCAGATATTTACCATTTCTCACAATCTTAAATTCAATCTGAGGATCTGAGTTTCTATCTGGTATCATTTCCCTTCAGCCCGAAGAACTTCGTTTAGCATTTCTTGTAGTACAAGTCTTCTGGCAACAAATTTCTTGAGTTTTATTTTATCAAAATGCCCTTATTCTAAAACGATATTTTTACTGGACATGAAATTCTGGGTTGACAGCTGTTTTCTCTCAACATTGTAAAGGTATTCATTCTACTTTTTTGCATCCTTCAGAGATCCTAATGAGAAGTTAGCCATTATAGAATCACTGTTTTCCTAAATGTATTGTGTTGCTTTTCTCTTGTTATTTTCAAGATTTGCTTTTGATCTTTGGCTTTCAACACTTGGACTATAATGTGTCTTGGCTTGGCCTTCTTCATGTTCATACCACTTCGTGTTCTTTGGGTATCATGAATGTATAAATTTATATATTTTGTTAAGTTTAGGAAACATTTGGTCATCAGTTTTCAACCTTTTTTCTGCTAAATTTTCTCTCTCTCCTTCTAGGACTCCAGCAACACATACGTCAGATCATATGCTATTTCAGCTGGCCCTTTGTATCTGTGGGTTTTGCATCCATGGATTCAACTAACTGTGGATTGAAAATATTCAGAAAAAAATTTCATCTATATTGAACATGCACAAACTTTTTTCTTGTCATTATTCCCTAAAAAATATAGTATAACATTTACATGGCATTTACATTGTATTAGGTATTTTAAGTAACCTGGAGATGACTTAAAGTATATGAGAAGATCTGCGTAGGCTATATGCAAATAATATGTTCGTTTTTCAAGTGGCATTCATAAATCACCAGGGACTTTAGTATCCATGGATGTTGGCATCCATAGAAGGTCCTGGAACCAATCCCCTACAGATACCAAGGGATGACTACATTTAACAGATCCCGGAAGCTCTCTCATGTTTAAAGATCATTTTTCTCTGTGTTTTACATATTGGATAATTTCTATTGATCTCTTTTCAAGTTCACTTAATCTTTCCTCTGTCATCTCCGTTCCGGTGTAAAATAATTCGATGGATTTTAAATTTCAGACACTTTTTTCAGTTCTAGAATTTCCTATTTGATTTTTGAAATAATTTCTATTTTTATTTTTCTGCTGACACCTGTCCTACCTTTCCATTCATTGTTACTGTATTTTTTTTTTAATTGAGGGCACTTATTACAGCCACTTTGAAATGCTTGTGTGTTATTTTCAACACTATATCTTGGAACTGACCTCAGTTGATTTCCTTTTCCCTTGAGACTATGCTCCATATTCCTGGATTTCATGAGTTGGCATTTTTGGATTTTATCCTGGACATTATAAATGCTAAGTTGCAAAGACTCTGGATTTTATTATTTTTCTCCAATGAGCGTTCCTTCATTTCAGCAGGCAATTATTTGGTTGAACTTGAATTACAAACTTTGTTTTCTGGGGTGGCAGCTCTGTTCTGGGCACACATTGTTATGAGCTCAACCAGAAATGTGGGCAGAGAGAATTTGGGATATCCCTTGTCTGGCTCTTTCCCTTCTGAGATTCCTCCATTCTGTCCAGTGGCCATGGTTTCTCCAAATTTAGTATTTGGTTCCTCAAGCCAAAAAGACTGTGATGTTCCCACCACTGTATGCTGCTAATTGCACTTGGCCTGAGGCTCAAAGCCATGAAAACATAGACTCACTGTACATAATTCCTCCCCTATGTGTGTGGAATTCCCAAATAATTTGCTTGCAACTGTTCTCTCTTCAACATCTTCAGGTAGCTGTTTTTTTTGTATGATTTTCAGGTGTTCAGAAAAGGATAGGTCTATTAGGGTTTTATTCAGCCATTAATGTCCACACACATCTTTATCACAGTGAAACTACATAGGTCTTTTGTACCTAACTTTATACATATATTGGCATATTATTTCTCTTATTTTATAGTATTTATAACCATAACGAATTTTAAAGCAACTAGATTTTCCCTTATTAAAAAACAAACAAACAAAAAAAAAAACTTGTTCTTTGTGGAAAACTTGGTAAATCCAAAGACAATTACTCAAATTCCATCATCCAGGTTAATTATTAAATCTTAACATAGTTCTTCACATCTTTTTTCCTTATATGTGCACATATACATGTTTAAAGCAGAGTTGACTCAATTGCATATATTTTTTGTACTCTGCTTTTCACTTAACATTATGTCATGAGCCATTTCAAATTTCAGTGTACCTTAGAATCACCTGAGGAGACTAAAAATTCAAGTTCTTGGGCCCAGTAATTTTGACTTATTAAGTCAAGATTGGGGTTCAGAATTCCAAAATTTTGATTAACTCTCTGATTCTAAAATTGATGGTTCATGAATGCCACTTGAAAAATATGAGCAGTTCTCCCAAAGAATAATACATTTTTCAACCTATAGAGAAATGATTAAATACCTATATTTTATCTACTCTACAGAATATTAGACAGTCATCTAAAAATAAATGATGTTTAGGGTATGGAACAGTGATACAATTAAAAAGAAAAAACACAGCCCACTAGACTGAAAAGATAGTCCTTAAAGTAGAAAATAATGGCATTAAAAATTAGTTATAAATACACCAGGTAATGAGAAAATTAGTTAGCTTTTGGGAAAAGAAAGTTATAATCTAACCTCATTCCATACACACTATACACTGAAGTAAATGCCAGGCAAATTAAAGAACAATGGAAACATGAATGTATGAGAACACATAAGTGAACTATTACATAAGCTGAAGTAAGAAAGGGTTTTCTAATCATGACACGAAAAGTAAAAACCATAAAAGTAAAAATTGATAGTTTGCCACAAAATGTCAAGAAAGAGACTACTTTTTAAGTGATATATACTCTACCCAGATGTCTCAAAATTTGGTTTAATTTAATTTAAACTCAAGAAAAATGAGTTAATTCCTAAAACAATATAAACTATCAAAACTCACCTAACAAGAGGTTTCTATATGAGCAAGCCAAAACTAAAGAAGAAATGAAGAGGTTATGAACTGCTGAAGTAATCCCAGAAAGTGAGCTACATACCTGGTAACTCAATAAAAATTTCTACAAGGTAGAACACACACTCATAAAATCCATTTACACTATAGTCAGGGTAGTAAGGTAGAGGGATGGGAGGTGTAGATGGGAAGGAACAACCCAAATATGAAATATATGTAACCTTTAGAAGAAAACAAGCAATTGCCCTCTGAAACAAACTAGGCAATAAAACTCAAAACCAAAACAAAACAAACATCAAGGGAAATGAAAGACATCCTGAAGAAAAATAAAGGCATACCATGTTCCTGATCTAAAACCTAAAGGCCATGTTCCTGATCAAAAACTACTCTTTGATCTCCCTTGTCACAGACATCTATAGTTCTCCACCCTACCCAGGTAACTAGACCTTGGATTTCTGCTTACATATTTTGTTTTTTCTATTTTACCATAATAATTTTTTCCCCTCAGGTTAAAAATTCTTTAGTTGAAATTTAATTCTTTGATTTTTATCCATTTAAAAATGTTAAAAAACAAATAAAAACATTTAAAGTTATATATTTCCTACTGGTATATAACTTTGGCCATGATTTGTTTGAATTGCGAAATTTTGTATTAAAGTTTCCTACTATAACCATATTTCTCTATTTTTCTCTTGTAGCTGCAAAAATTTTTATTGGTATATTATTTGGTCCAAGGTTAAACATCATTATTTTTTTTTTTTCCTTTTTTGTCTTTTTTCGTGTCCGGCAACGGACCGCAACCCTCAGTGTTGCGCCCGTACCGGACCGGGACCGGCAACAGGATCGCAACTCTCGGTGCTGCGCCCGCCCCTCGCTCAGCCAGTGAGCGGGAACCGGTCTGTATGTGGGATCCGAACCCTCGGCGGGAGCGCCGCCACGCTCCCAAGCGGCGCACTGTAGCAGTGCGCCACCGGGCCGGCCCTAAACATCATTATTGATCAAACCTGAACCAAGTATTTCTAACTATACTCGGATTCTTTCTCTCTCTATTCAAAGACTAAAATAGAAAGATTGCTTCTCCTCAGTTACATAGAGATGAAACAATAAAATTTGGTAGGGCTAAAGGCAAAAAAAAAGAACAAAACATTTTTCATTAAAGGGCCATAGTGGGCATCATTTTGTCTTTTCTTAAGTGATGTTTGTGATAAATTTGCACATATGCATTGAATACTTATATGAAATGAGCCGTACCTCTATTTATGAATAGGCAAAAAAGGGCCAGTTTTCAAGTAAAGATGACACTTAAAATGACATATAAACTTGCTGAAAACAGCCCAGGACATTGAATAAAAGCTCACCAGAAAATACTACCTCCCAGGAAAGGGTGCAGGTTGAGATGGGGAAACTCACCATAGAATTTGGACTTAGCCAGGATACTACCACTAAGGCAAAATCCATCTTTTCGATTACTAACATAAAAGGCAGATATTGGTGGATGATGGGACACCTATTGAACACAGGAGAAAACATAAAATATAACAAGATAAGTACAGAATTGTACTATTATCAAAATTTCAAGTCTTATAATGAGTAAGAAGAAACATTTGGTAAGTAATAAAATCAAAATTTGATGGTTGTAATAACCAGCCTCCTGCCTTCCAAGGAAACCTACCTCCTGGTATTCACAACATTAGGTAAGCCCTTCTTACACTGTATCAAAGTTGGTTTGTATGGAAGTGATAGTATGTCATTTCTGAGATTAGGTTATCATGCAGTTTCATCCTGGGGTCTCTCTCTCTCGATCATTAGCTCTGAGAAGCCAGCTTCCATATTGTGAAAAACCCTATGGAGAGGGCCCATGCAGCAAGGAACTGAGTTCTCTTGTCAACAGCCAGGTGATAAGCTTAGGAGTGAATCTTTCAGCCTAGTCAAGCCTTCATATGATTGCAAAGCTGGCCGACTTCTTGACTACAACTTAATGAGAGACCCTGAGCCACAACTACACAATTAATCATACTATCTCATACAATGAGGTTATTCCTGAACTTCATCGTATGAGATAACAAATGTTGTTTTAACCCAGTCAGTTTTGGCAGTAATTTGCTACACCGTAATGAATCATGAATATAGGGGTTATTTTTCATATGGATTCCTGGGATTGGCTGCAGGAAACAAAGGCTTTGACAAATGTGTTATTTTACTAATGTTATGTTTTCAATATATTTACAAGTTATGTTTTCTGAAATGAGAAAAAGCTAAAATCAGTTAAACTCTTCTCAAGCTTCTCAACTTTATAAAGAATTATAGTGAACTAAAATACAAGGTGGTATAATCATTAATTTTTAAAAAATATAGATAAGTGGTTTCAACCTGAGAGATGTACAAAAATCTCTAGGGGAAGAGGAAACTTTTTCAAAGGACAGACGGTTTTCTCATCCTCTTTACACTCAAGGTGAGAATTATTATAGCATGGAGCTACTGTCATTGAGAAAGAATGTCATATTACTCAAGTTTGTGCAGACAGGGGAGAAGATTGAGAATCATGAAAATATATATGTACATAAGTTTAAATTAATGAAAGCTCAAAAACTAGAAATATTTTCTGACTACCTACTGTGTACAACAAAAAGAGAGGTATCATCAGGGAAGGTTAGGGAGGGAATATATCTTCAAGGAGCTAACAATTCAATTAAGGAAATAAATAATCTATTAAAAGGTAAACAACAGAAGTGTTAAAAATAACAGCTTAGTCAATAATCACAATGGGTGTAAATTTGATTTCAGAACTGGAGAACCACTGAAGAATTCTGAGCATGATCAAAAAGGTGTTTTGGAAATATGAGCTTGTCTAAAAAAAAAGAAAAGACAAAAGGAATGGGGGGCTACAGAGGAAGAAAAGTAAGGATTTATTATTTTTAGTCAAAGGATTCCATGACTGTAGTAGGAATACCTAGGAGTATAGTATTTAGTAGTATTTGGTACTAAAATGTTAAATGTTTACCAAATGTTCATCAATAAGAAAGGTTAAATAACAGTGAGTTTACTGAGTTAATATTTTCTATAAAAATATTCCAATAACTTCTAAATCTGTTTAGCTTTTGCAACATGCATTTCTTATACCTGTTCAGCAATATAAAAAGTTTTGCTGTTTGTTCTGGGATGAATCCATAAACAACGAAACGTCTCACCAAGTATAGGATTATAAGGTTTCTTCAATCCCTAGTAAAAAAAAAAATACAAATTTCAAGTTATAAATACAGAAGATTCAAAATAGTTTAAACCAGTCAAAATGGGTTTTATGTATCATGTGGGAGCCATCCTTATAAAATTTCACAGTAAATGAAATTCACATAAAATAAAATTAAATGACTGATAACGGGAGATGGCAAAACCTGTGCTATGAGGAAAATGTATATCTTAAATACCTCTAGTATAGATCAAACAAAAAATAAATAAATAAATAAATTAATTAATTAAATGATCTTAATCATAAATTTTGCAATGTCGCTAACTCAAAGAGGCACAGTAATATAATTGTTAATAAATACCCTAAAGTTACATTAAAACAAAATAAGAAACTCATAAAAGATTAAAGAAAGTAAAATACAAACATTACCTTTGGCTTTTTATAGAATCCTGACAAATACCATTTCACTACTTTCTTCAAACGGAAATAAGGATTTTCTTCAAGAGCAGCCCTAAAAAACAAAACGGTAAACAAAAAAAAATTTACAGAATACATCAAATTCTCCCTCATATTTACCAACTAATAACTGAGTATAAGATATGATTGAAAAACATAATTCATATTTAAAATAGATGGCAAAAACAACCATGTAACTCAACTTCCAAGAATCGCTTTCTTAATCTGGTCACTTTTCTCCCCATTTTTCCTATTCTTTGATACAATACCCAGGTTTTTGCTGCATAGTTTTTGGAAACTCTCCAAACCAAGATTTCTCAAGTGGGGTTATGCACAACTAACGATGTTGTAGGGGTTCTGTGAGAAATAGTGATAGAAAAAAAATAAACACAGCATTTCAGATTCATGCATTTTGTGATGCCTAGCATTTGCAATGATGGGCAGGGTTGACAAGCAGCCACATTCATTTTGTTAGAAGTCTTCAGCCCCCTAATCAGCAAAGGACCAATGTTCACTTCGTTGAGTCTATTCTCAGTTGCTGTTAGAGGAGATCAACTACAACTGGTGAGTGCTATAGAGCATAAAGGGGAGGTTGATGTCAGCATCTCCCCTGCAAATGACCTCCCTAACGATAGGATTTTACATTGGTTAGCAGTCTCTAGTGCAAAAATAGAAGTTTCAAATGACAAGTATGGTAATCAGAAAGGTTTTAACCCATTTTTATCCTTCGGCCTCCTTTTATTGACTACCAATTGATTTTCCAGAGTGAAAACTCTAATAGTATAACATATAATCAAAGAGTAACTTTCGTTTTAAAGAAGAGTTTTGTAGGAGTCATGACTCTCCTGCCCTTCTGCCATTTTCCTGTTGTTGTAAATTTTGCAAAAACATTGTGTATGTTAGAAGTTAATTCTACTGAGTTTTTTTTTCTGTTTGTAATGTAGCTATTTATTAAGCTTCATTTACACTTATTTGTAAAAAGGCATATGTATTTCACAAGCATGTCTGACAGTCCAATGTGTTAAGTTTTAAAGATTAGGTGTGAGATGGAAGAGGCTAGGCTGAGGCTTACTGACAACTGTGCCAAGTTGAAAGGTTGCACTTTTCTGGAGTAGCAACCTTCAGGCTGCTCTCTTCCTATCTTAGTTTAAATTCTCTTACCATGAAATTTTATTTTAAATTTTACATATACATAGTTCAAAAGACAAAGCAATGTGAAGAATTATACATGTCTTGCTACTGCCCCATCTTTCCACACTGTTCCTACTTACCTCCAACAGGTAACTTTTTTTTTTTCACATGTTTTCTTTAAGCATAAACCAGCAAATATAAATATACAGGTCTGTTTTTCTTAAAAAGAAAAAAAAAGTAGCAAACTATACACACTCTTCTGTACCCTGCATTTTTCACACAAACATAATCCTGGAGGTCCCTCTGTATCAGTTAATAGAGTTCTTCTTTATATGTGTGGATGCACCATATATTATTTAAACAGTCAAATATGGCTGGACACTTGTATTATATCTAATATTTTACTATCACAAACCCTGCTGCAACAATCTTGTATGTATGTCATTCTGTAGCATATGTGAAGTTATAGCTGTAGGAGTTATTCCTAGAAGTAGGATTAGTGGCTCAAAGAATGAATGCATATATAATTTTGGCAAATAATACCAGATTCCCTGCAAAGGCACTGTGTTAGTTTGTATCGCCCATGGCAGTGTATGGGAGTGCCTGTTGCCCCACAGAGCCTTAGCAACAGTGTGTTGCCAGAAAAGTGCAACCTTTCTATTCGGGAAGATGGGCATCTCTCAAAATCTTATTGTGATTCATAGAAACCTGCCTTATATTCTAAGAGAAATTAATTTCTAGGTAGATAAAAGAAAGAACTATAGAACATATAAGGCAGAACTGGGGTATAAAAGCTTTTGGACTTTTTGTTAATGTGATGGATGAACAGGAGTATCTTACTATAGTTTAAGTCTACATTTTTCTTATTTTGCATTAGGTTTATGTGTTTAAGGGCTTTTTCTATTTCTTCATTTTTGAACTGCCTGATCATTTCTTCCATGCCTTTTTCTATAGGTAGTTGATAATTTTCATTCAATTTCTAAGAGCTCTTTTTATTTTAGGGAGATTAACACTTTCTCTATGATATAATTTGCAAAAAATTTCCACAATTTATCAATTATCTTTTGACTTAGCTTATGATTTTTTTTGCAACATTCACGAATGCAATTAATAAACAGAAACTGAAAATAGATGTTGATGCAGATTCTAAAAATCAGATCACAGGGCCAGAACTTAGTATCATAGAAAACAGAGTGCCTTGAAATATCACTGCTGCTAGAATGGGGGCAGCAGGTGAGACTAGGAAAGGTGGGCATCAAGTTGCTGTTCTTTGCAAAGTTTACTGGTTTTCTTTTTTTTTTCCTTTTTGTCTTTTTTTCGTGTCCGGCAACGGACCGCAACCCTCAG